ATGGAAATTTAATGTCTCTGTAATTCAAAAATATAGTATCTGTAGAACTTTTAATGGATTTAAAATCAACACGAATACCATACCACATCTAACTGGGATTTTTTGCACCAAAAGAAAGAAATCCCTTCCCCTTCAGTTGTAATGTTGGTTCGACCTAGCCCCCTGCAAATAACAAAAATTTGGTTAGCAAACATACGTTAGCAGCTGACTAATATTTTTTTGAGTGACTGCTGGTTGAAAGTGTCCATCCAATGCTTTCATCCCGGCATACGAACCCATATTTTGCTGAAAAATGTAAATAATTTACATTTAAATGCAAATAAAATGCATACCAAGCTGGTGAAAATGTGTCACAAAATGGAAAGTGTCAAATGCTGGCAAAGGGAATGGAAGAATGAAATGGAAAATAAACAAAGGCACCGACTAGTTATCATAAAATCTTCACAGTCTGGTGTGGGCTACTGAATAGTTCCCTTCTACATCAATGGCAGTACGACAGCCCTAGTAGATTAAATGTTTGTATGTTTCGTATATTTTGACTGGACTGTAAATTAGGGTGTGGCGATTTGAAATAGATCGATATAATATACTCACAGACAACAAGCAGCTATTATGAAAGGTTAAAACTCTAGTGTGTGCTACTGCATAATACCCTTCTACACTTTGGCTACTTGGCTAATTTTAGTATATTTCGTATATTTTGACTAGACAGTGTATATTAGGGTGGGACGATTTGAAAACCTAAAAGGGCGCGTCACCCATTTTAATACCCTACACCACATAGAGGTAAGGGTATTATGTCTTTGTGCATTTGTAAAATGGAGAAGAAAACGAGATAGACCCATAGTCCCTTTTGGTGATCAGCATAGAATCACATTTTGAGTCGATTTATGCATGTCCGTCCGTCCGTCTGTCTGTCTGTCTGTCTGTCCGTCCATCTGTCCATGTATTTTTGTAAACAAAATGCAGGTCGCATTTATTATTCGATTGAAATGAAATTTTCTAAATAACATTTGTTTGGCTCAAGGACGAACCCTATTGAAATTGGTGAAAATCGGTCCAAATTTAGATATAGCTTCCATATATATCTTCATCCAATTTTAGGTTTCTTGTGCACCAAATTGCTAATATCAGTTCAAATGGTGTGAATTTTGCTACATCCGACTGAATTCAGCCTACATGCATGTACTTCAAATTTGATGGAAATTGGTTCAGATATAGCTATAACTCCCATATATATGTTTCATCCGATTTTAGGTTTATTCTGCACCAAATAGCTAATAGCAGTCCAAATGGTGTGAATTTTGCTATATCCGACCGTATTCAGCCTACAAGCATGCGCTTTAAATTTGATGAAAATCGGTTCAGATATAGCTATAGCTCCCATGTATATCTTCATCCGATTTTAGGTTTCTTGTGCACCAAATGTCTAATATCAGTCCAAAGGGTGTGAATTTTTCTACATCTGACCGAATTCAGCCTACATGCATGTGCTCCAAATTTGATGAAAATCGGTTCAGATATAGCTATAGCTCCCATATATATGTTTCATCCGATTTGGTGTTTAAGGCCCTCACATTCGTAATATGCACTCCACGAGACTGATATTTTGCACCAGATATCAGATACAACCTAGCAATTCATGATTCAAATTTTATCAAGATCGGTTCCGATTTGGAAATAGCTCCCATATATATATATCTTCATCCGATTTTGGGTTTCTTGTGCATCAAATAGCTAATATCAGTCCAAATGGTGCGAATTTTGGCACTTCGGACCGAATTAAGTATGGAAATAAGTACATCAAATTTGGAACACGATACAAGAATAATGTTTGGTACCAGATATCAGATGCAGCCAAGAAATAGCTGTTTTCAATTTTATGAAGATCGGCTCAGATTTTAATTTTCGAAATTCAACCGAGTTTAGCATAGAAGGAAGAATTTCAAAATTTGGTCCCATATATATGTTTCATCCGATTTGGTTTTTAAATCTCCAACTTTCGGAATATGCACTCTACCATAATGATATTTTCTTCCAGATATGTCATAGAGCTCAGAAATTGCAATATAAAACTTTCTTTTACGAGAGTTCTACTAAATATGCGTAGTGGTGTAGGGTATCATATAGTCGTAGGGTATCGTATAGTTTTTATTTTATTATTATTATTATTATTATTATTATTATTATTATTATTATTATTATTATTATTATTATTATTATTATTATTATTATTATTATTATTATTATTATTATTATTATTATTATTATTTTTTTTTTTTTTTTTTTTTTTTTTTTTTTTTTTTTTTTGTCTTGAAAAACATAATATTTTGGTTCGGCTTATGTTTCGAAATGGCTGAAGCTAGAATAAAATTTTGGGTGAGGGCCAATCTTGGTCCGAAGAGATCAGATAAGGCTGGATTTTTGGAATTTCATACAAGAACGGTGCGAAAAATACAAAAAGTGTACTAAATATGACACCCTTTTGTATTTGAGGAAGCAGTAGAGCTAGAATTCTAAAATTTGCAATGGGGGTCACTGATGGAGTACATGAAGTATGAAATATAGGGTTTTTGGAAAGTCGCACTAAAAGAGTACGAAAAGTACTAAAATGTAGTACATGTGGTTCAATTCGTTTCATGTAAACATTTAGAGCTGTCAACTTGAAATTTAGAATGGGAATCCAGGTTGAGGAGTAGAGTCGATGTAAGGAGGTAGTTTTGGAAGTGTATATTCATATATACGAAAATACGTACTAAACGGTACTATATTTAGTACAATTTGAATTTGAAGGAACGGATGAAACTGCAATCTTGAAATTTAAATTAACATTACTGCGAAGTGTAGGATTGAGATATAGAGTTAGTTTCCGCAATTTGTACTTATGTGCACGAAAAGTACTAAATGATACTAAATTTGGCACAATTTAAAATGTGTGAGAACCGGTAGAGTTGGAATTCTGAAATTTGAAAATAAGATTTATATTGGACGATATGATGCAGGTAGTATTAAAAATTGTACTAAATTTGGTACAATTTCTACTTGGGTGAACTAATGGAACTGGTATCCCGAAAATTGCAAATAATGACTGTCGAAAGGAAGGATAGGGATGTAGGAGAGTTTTTAAAATGTGTTCTTATATGTACTAAAATGTACTAAATTTGGTACCATTTATATTTTTTCGCCGAAGCGATAAGATAGAAATCCTGAGTTAGGATTACACTGGGATTGTAGGATTGGATGGGATACGCAGGAGACTTTTGGAAGTTTGTACTTATGTGTACTTTATGGTACTAAATTTGGTACAATTTGGATTTGAGTAAACCGATAGATTTGAAATCTTGAAATGTGGAAATTAGATTTTTATCGACCTGTTACCGGTAGTTATAAAAATTTGGTACTTAAGTGTACTAAATGGTAAAAAATTAAATTTGGGTAGACCAATAGAGCTGGTATCCTAAAAACTGCAAATAATATTATTGTCGGAGTGTAGGATCGGGATATGATGGAGATTTGGAAATTTGTACTCATATGTACTAAAATGTACTTAATTAAATATAATTTGTATTTGGGCGAACCAATAGGTCCTAAAATTTGGAATTATTGTGGGAGTGTAGGATTGGGATATGTAGGAAGCTCTAGAAATTCGAACTTATGTGTACCAAATGGCATTAAATTTGGTACAATATGGGATTTTTATGAACCTATGGAGCTACAATTCTGATTTTTTCTTTTTTTTTTTTTTTTTTTTGAAGTGTAGGATAGTTTCACCGAAAGGGTTACTGGAAATTCAAACTCTAAATTTAGGAAATGTTGTAAAATTGTACTAATTTTCTAAAATGGTACCATTTGGTATTATGTGAACGGAACGAAACTTAAAATCTTGTCTGAGAATTAATATCAGAAAGTAAATTTATTATATGAAGGTGGTTTCGGAAATGTATACTAAGTGCGGGAACTATACTAAATGGTACCAAATTTTAAACAGCTTGGTTTAGTGTGAACTGATGCAGCTAAAATTTTGAAATTTTGTGTTGGGGTTCCTGTTGGTAGTAGGTTCATAATATAGAGGTGGTTTCATAAATGTACGCTACAAGTGCACGGAAAGTACCAAATAGTACTAAGATTGGTACAATGTGGCTTTGGGTGAACAGAAAGTACTTGAAATCTGAAATTTGTCGTTCGGTTCGCGGTTCATGTGTAGCCTTGCGGAAATGTGTACTTTAATTGTACGAAAAGTACTAAATAGTACAAAATTAGGTATTGGGTAAAGGGATATAGATAAAATTCAGAAATTTGCTATTTAGGTTACAGATGGTATATATATTGAACACTTGGTGGTGGCTTGGAAATATGGCCTATATTTTTACGAAAAGTACGAAATGGTACTAAATTTGGTATTCGTTGAATGTATAGAGCTGGAATCCCCAAATTTGATATTTAGGCCTTTTGTGTAACATAAATTGAGATATGGAGACAGTTTTAGAAATGTCTGCTTTAATTGTACGACAAGTACTAAATAGTACACAGTTTGGTATTGGGTGAAAGGATAGGACTAGAATCCTCAAATTTTATATGAATATCACTGTTGGTGTCTGCGGTTGAGGTATAGAAGAGAATTTGAAAATAGGTACCATCATTTTTCGAAAGTTACTAAGTTTCATATTGAGGTCTCTGTTGGTATCTGGAATTGAGATAGGGAGGTTGTTTTGAAAATATGTACTATATATATACGAAAAGTACTAAACGGTACTAAATTTGGTATTGGCTGAAGGAATAGGGCTTAAATCCTGAAAATTGATATAAATGTCTCTGTTGTTGTTTGTGGTTGAGAGAAGGAGTTGATTTTGGATATGCGTACTGTAATTGTACTAAATGGTACTAAATTCGGTAATAGGTGAAATTAAAGGGTTGTAATTCTGAAATTTTATATTTAGATCTTATCCATTCCTATCCACTTATTTAGCTGTTTGTTTGCTTTTCTTTTCTTTCCATTGCAGGTTACCAGCTTTACCACCGCCAACAAAAAAGGTACCATACCAATGCCATCCTCTAGTGCGGGTGCACTGCAAAAACACCAACAACACCAAATAGCCACCATTGAAACACCACCGAACAGTGCGGGAGCACTGCCAATGCAAATACCCACAGTTACCTGCGATCTAGCCTCGGATATCTCCACATCGGAGGCAGCCGATATGGAACCCCATCCGCTGATGTATCCCAATGCAGGCGGTGGTAGTGCTGAGACGGCGGCTACCGCTTTGGGCACCTCGGTGCATAGCATAGAAACAACAATAACAACGACAAACAATTCAACACCCAACTGCAAAGATTCGGCAGCATCGTTGCGGGTGAGTACAATAGCAACAGGGCATGGGGCGCTTAATGTCCCTGTGCCGCCATCGATGGCGGGCAACAACAATGGCAGTACGGCAGCCCTGAACAATAACAATAATGGGGCGCTGCCCACAACAGCATCGGCGGCAACGACGCTGACCGCCACCACAACGCTGCTCAATACCAAACCAACAACGACATTGTCCACCACCAGCAACAATGAACTGAAAGTCTCCCCCATTGCGGGGCGATGTCGGGCCCTCAGTGTGGGCATCGATACCGATATGGTAAGTGAATTCGATCCCTCAAGTTCCGATTCGGGTGTGGTGAGTCGTTGTGCCGTCGTCAAGCCATTGAAATTTCGTTTGTGTCAGCCTATTTTTGGACGTAAATCCAATAATAGACGGCAGAATGAAGGTAAAGGAGCGTCGGCGGCGGGAGCGGGCGGCAAAGCTGATGGCGGTACATCATCGACAACGACAACGTCCAAGGCGGAAATTGTAAAAGCTGAACTAGAACCTGCCATACCCAAGGTACAGAAACCACGCGATCCCGAAAAGGAGAAACGACGTATAGCCCGTAAGAAAGAAAAACGGGCCACCCTGATCCTGGGTCTCATTATGGGATCTTTCATTGCCTGTTGGCTACCCTTCTTCTTCCTGTACATACTGGTGCCAGCGTGTAGCAACCATTGTCACATACCCGAATCGGCCTTTGCCATTGCCTTTTGGCTGGGCTACATGAACTCGGCCCTGAATCCGGCCATCTATACCATCTTCAACAAGGACTTCCGGCGAGCATTTCGCCGCATACTATTCAAGTGATGTTTGGCCTATGTGTGCTGTTATCGGTGCGTTCATGCCAGTATCGAGAAGGCAACGGAACGTGCTATGGGCAGCACACCCATGGGTTATAATATGTATCATTATCGACGTTAGATTTGGTTATTTGCTTAAGTTGATCTTTGAAAAAAATAATAAAATGCAGATAGAAATAAACATCCTGTCTGTGGACCTAGGTTTCGTGTAAAAAAAGAGAAAAAACAAAATGGCGCCCAATCAAATCATAAGTCATAGAAGAAAATAAAATCATTTTAAATTTGCAACTCAAAACACCAATAAATCAAAACGTAATAAAAAACAAACTCAGTTAACTCATCGTCGTTTAGCAGAAAACAAAAGCGAAGCAAAAAAGAAGATGTCGGAAAAATCGAAAACACGAAAAAAGTCACAAACATAAATATTGAGAATAAACATCTTTTTTTAATCAGCTAACTAGACGAAATCCATCAATCAAAACAATCAATATTTGCTTTAAGCGAAAAATTCAATGTCAAACGGTAGAGATAAAACAGACGACGAGGACGAAGACGTCAAAAATGAAGCAGTAAAAGAAGAAGAAGCCTTAAACGCCACATTAAAAAACAAGTCAATGTACTTCAAGGCAACGGCAACGGCTGGCTGGCTAGCTGGCTGTTGACGGTTATTTGTAAGTCAAATTTACTTTTTTTGTTTTTTTTTATTTATTTTGATTTATTCCATTTTGCTGTGTTGTGACTACTTTTGCTTTGAGACCAAAACAAAAAAAAATACAAAAACAAAAATGGAAAAGCTCATTTTAAAAGCATTAAAAGGCTGTGAAATATATTCAATAATTTTTGTTTCGTTAGATTTTTTATAAATATTTTTTGATGGCAGATTTATTTTCTCATTTTTTTGGGATCAAGATGGGTCAATGCTATAAAAAATAAAGATTGAAATAAAAATGGTTCTGTTTATTAAATAAATATACCTGAGTCAGATCTTAATGAAAAATCAATTAAAAGATCAGCCAGACTTTAATTCAGTCAATCTGGCCAAAAAAATTAAAGAAATAGAATAGGGAAGTTTTAGCAGCATAATTTGAGGTTTTAAAATTAATACAGGGCATGTGGTAAATTAATTAGTATTTTTCTTATCAGGGATGCCATTCTTGATATTGGCGTACCAGAGGTTGGCTGAGAGATACAAAATTTAACTTGAGACAAGAAAAACAATTATGTTATGGAGTAAACAATATACAGGGTTGCCCATATTCGACGGACCCATCTGGCAACGCCATAACTTTTGACAGAGATGTCACATCGCTTAATGTTATACCGCGTTTGAAGCATCAGTCCAAGCAGATTTTTACCATGAACCAATACACGCCACGCGAAATAGTTGAAATTTACATTCAACAGAAGAAGTCAATTGTGAAAACTCAACGTGCTTTTAAAACATTAAAACATGTGAGAAGTGCGCCTTCTAAGAACACCATTAAGCGTTTATACGAAAAATTTTCGACTGGTAAGGCTCTTTCTAATCCGAAGAGGCCATATAAAAGTCGACCAAGGCGATCGGCCGAGAATATCGCTGCCGTACGAGCCAGTGTTGTGAGGTCCCCAAGAACATCCCAAAAACGCCGTTCTCAGCTGCTGGGCATGGCTCGGTCCACTTTACAACGGATTATTCGCATTGATTTGCATTTGTTCCGTACAAAATTCAATTGACGCAAAGAATGTTGCGGCCAAGCCTCGTCGATTGGAATGTGCCCAAAGGTCCGTCAAATATGGGCAAACCTGTAATTTTATAAATACATTTAAAAAAAATTTAGATTTTGAAGAAATTTCAAGAGGGATTTTAAAGACAATTCCGACAGTGTAAATCTAGCTTAAACAAGTAAAGCAGTAAGTTCGGCCGGGTCAAATTTTGGAACTAATTTCGACATTTACAAAAATTTAAAATAGGATAATTTTTTTTTTTTTAAGTCTTAAAAATATGCAAATACGAAACTTGAAAAACAAATTCCGGTGAATATTGTAGATAAAATCATAAAAAACCTGAATATAGGGAGGTACCGTAATATCGGGGCTATACGAAGACCAGAGCCTGCATAGACAATTTTTTCTCACAGGCTGTAGCTCTCACTAGGAACTTCAAATACGAATTTTGAAACAATTCCCTTGAATAAAGCATCTAAAATCGTCAAAATACCGAATAACGAAGGTACCGATATGAAGGGGCTATACGAAGACCTAGACCTGCATAGACAAATTTCTGACATACACTGTTGTACCTTTTAGGAAATTCAAACACGAAATATGGAACAACTACGGTGAATAATGTCAAAATACCGAATATTAGGAGGGGTCATTATATGAAGGCCATACGAAGACGCGGACATGACACATTTTTAGGCTGTAATACCCATTACAAACTTCGAATACAAAATTGGAAACAATTCGGTTGAATATTGTCGCTAAAATCATCAAAATACCGAATTAAAGGTGGTACCGTTATATGGAGGATATACGAAAAGGAACTTAATCTTCCTACTGGTAAAATACATATGTGCGCAAAATGTTATCCTTCTATCTCAATTCGTTCGAAAGACAGCGTGATTACAACAAGCAGAGAGACGGACAGACATACTGACACACAGACAGAGTGACTGACAGCTAAAACGTCTTAGAATTTCACGCTGTTCCAGAATATATATACCTTGCATGGTCTATCATGAATATTTCGAGGAGTTACAAACGAAATGACAAAGCTAATATACCCTCCATAGAATGGGGGAGGGTAAAAAAATATCAGTCGATAAATATTGCGACGTGTCAGTCTTTCCTTCCTTTTTCACCGATACTGTCAATCTCCAAAATTTATCTAAATTCCATAATTATATTACGATGTACCAAGTTTGGACCAAATCGGATACTGTCTTCGTCAGTTATCTTTTCACCAGCCATACAGATAAAAGGAAACCCCTAGATCGACGGATATTGCCCTAAGAGACCAACATTTTTGTAATTTAAGCCAGGAGATACAGGCGTATTAGGGCTATAGGTTTAGTTTAGCTCCCATCCTGCCGTATATCATAAATTTCAATGACTGAACACAATTTCAAAATTCTATTTTAATTTTCGAGGTGTTGCGAATTGAATGGCAAATAATGTATTTTAGAAAACTGTTGAAGTACTGATGCTCTTTGGTCAGGGACGAACCCGGTTTGACGGTCCTGGGGCATGGACCCCGCAAAAAGTTGCTTTTTTATTTGTAGATTTTACATGAAAAGTAAATATTTTGCTAGTTGTGACCTCTCCCTGAAATAATTTCAAGAAACGTTTTCATAAACGTCCCGGAATATTGAATAATAAAAATTGGATCTAAGTAACCTGTAAATCACCCGGGAATTTTGTGTGGCGGTCGCTATTTGTCAGCGATGGTGAGGCAAAGCGTGGCTCTTCGAACTTCCGTTAGACGCTTGATCTTCTTTTACAAAATTTTTCACTAAGCCGTGACTATTCTTTAATCCGGCCAAATCACAAATTTATTAAAAGGTCACTTTTGACCATAACAGTGATGCTGACAGCAAAGATATTGGATATATAGCGAAATAGGTAATACCTATATGTAAATGAAATTGATGTTAGTTATTCCGCTTATAAATCAAGATTAGCAGGGCTGATTTTCACAATTCTCATCAATTCGGAATGGTCGCTTGCAAGAAAAGGACAATATATAAAAGAATCGCGTAAAAATATTCCAATAAAAAACAGATTTTTTTTCCATTTTTTTTTTAATTTTTTGTCATATTTTTTATCGCTTGCGATTTTTTTAATTTGACTTACAATTTTGAATTGTACATTTTCAAAAAAATTTCTACACCCCACTAACACTATGTTTTTATGATATTATATTTAGGTCGGAATTATCGTACGATCCTCACGTAATTTTGCATGGGGTCAGAATTATTGTTTTTGAAGATGAACCTTTAAGAGTTTCCAATGAACCAAAAAATTAAAATTATCCTGATTTAGCAGTCGCCCTACAGGTCACAATTGAAAACCAAATGACACAGCATTTTTCATGCGGAGAGAGTTTGGGACAGTGCAGCGGTCTAGCATTTTGAATTACCATGGGATTACATATAGCGGGTCAAGTGGACCACAATTTTCGTGTGAAACTGTTTTGACTAAAAGCGTAAATATAGGGCATGTTTAAAAACCCCTGCAAAAAAACCAATTGTAACATTTCTGCAGAGCCAAAGTGGACTTGAAACTAAGGGGTTTTCAAAATATTATAGAGTTGTAGGGTATTTTCTGTTATTTTTTATTTATTTATTTATTATTTTATTTTTTTTTTTTTTTTTGTAAATATAGTATAGAGGCTGTGCGGTGTTTTTTTTTTTTAAATTCGTAATGTATTATGTACGATATATGGCAATATCCGTCTATGTGGCATAAAATTCTCACAAAAAAGAAAAAAAAAACTAAATTGGACCATATTGCGTATTTTCGAATTCAGGACAGCTACGAAGTTGAAAACGCATTTTTCCTCGGTTATATTATTTTCAAAAATCTCCATTAAAAAAATCTTCCGTCATGGGACGATTCAAACCTATGCCACCAATTCAGTTATTTTTATTTAAAACGTTTTTCTGTTATTTACAATTAAATAATGTCATTACAAAATTTTGTCGAAAATTGTTAAATGAACTGAATTTAATTGCATATAAAGTTTATTTTACACAATCAATGAGTTACAATTGTAAAAGATTAGCACACTTCAATCGAAATGTAACAATTTCAGCATTTTATGCTAATCTCAACATCATGTCCGACAAACAATGTTAACAGTTTGAATGAAATTTACTTTAATCCCTGATATTTAATTCATTGCTGATGTTGCCATTGACAACAGACAATGTCATTAAAATGTTGCATTTTTAGAGAGATTGAAGCAGATTAAGGAAAAATGGTAAAAAAGGAGGGATGGTTGATATCACTTAGATATTCTAGAGATGCCGAATATGGTGTAATATAAAGGACTTCAAAATTATTTTTATACCCTACACCACAAGGTGGTCAGGGTATTATGTCTTTGTGCATTTGTTTGTAACAGGCAAAAGGAAACGATATAGACCCATAGTTCCTTTTGATGATCTGCATAGAATCACATT